GAATTGAAAGACATAGGTCTGGCTTGACACCCTCACTGGGGAGTCAGTCTTATCTGATAGGAGTGGGAGGGAGATCTGAAGTTCTCGGAAGACTGAGAAAGGAAACCAGAGAGCAGGTTGCTGCTTCTGACTGCCCAGGCCTTTGCACAGACTTGTTCCCACCAGCCTTGTCCTGAGAAGGGCGGGGGCAGCCCCAGGTGACAGCTGAGGAGTCCTGGCACTCAGTCTCCTCAGCAAGGACTGTTGAGTGGTGTTAGGAAGCCCCAAGGCCCAGTTTAGACCTGAGCCTGCTCTGGATGCCCCTTGTTCATCTGACATCTGCCTCACTCTCCCTGTCTTAACTGGCTGCCTTGGACAATCCTCTTATCTGCAACCTGATCTGAGAGCTGGAGCCCCGAGCCTTGGGGCCATTTGAAGGATTAGGGGCGGGGGATGGGGGTGGTTCTTCTCATCCACAGATGCCCAGCTTGGCACATGACAAGCCTGTCAAAATGTAGGGCCTCCATCTGCCCTCCTGAAACCCTTTCTGATTCTGTCTTTGACGTTTAAGCCCAGAGGAGAGAAACTGACCCATCAAAGAGCCCAGAAACCTAAAGCCTTGGATTTCAGCTCTGCGTCTAAGCAAGCTTCATTGCTTCCTCAGGAAGGGCCCCAGTGAGCAGGAGATGGGGGTGTAGGTAGGGTCATGTTTTGTAAGATCCTGCCTATCTGTGTAGGTGGACTTTCCTGGGTTTCCCTGAGGGCCCCTTGCCCCCAGCTTGAGGCAACCTTGTCCCCATCTTGCTGCTTAGGGTTGAAGTTGCAGAGAGGGTCAGGGGATCTCCTTCTCTTACAAGAAGATTTGAAGAAGATCCAATGGCCCCCAAGGCATTGTAAGCAGCCTACCTACCAGCCAGGTGGGCCAGATCCTTGGTGCCAGGGAGGCCTGGCCTGGTGCAGTCAAGAACATGTCCCCCTTTCTCCATAGTTCCGGAGATCCAGATGGCAGTGGTGCCCTGCCCATTGGAGGCCTCAGCTATGTTCAGGGCCACACCAGAGTGAGTCTTATCAGCAAGACAGTGGGACGGTGCCTGGATGCCACAGCCCAGCGGTTACCAGACCGAGAGGCCTTGGTCGTCATCCAGGAAAACGTCAGGTTGACCTTTGCCCAGCTCAAGGAGGAGGTAGGTCCTGACCTTGAACCCTCCAAGTGGCTGAGCCAAGCCCCCAGCCTGTTCCATCTGGGTAAGGGTGGGAGGGCAAGGAAGAGGGTGGACACCTGGCTATGGGGCAGTTTGTTGGGGCTGCTTGAGAACCCGAGGGGATGGCAGAAGAAGGGGACAGGGCTCAGGCAGAGGTGGCCCCAATGCCTCCAGCATCAGGATCTCCTGGCGCACTTGTTAACTATGCATGTTCCCAGGCTCCACTGAAGACCCACTGAGGCCTGAGAATCTGCCTGTGCCCTTGTTCCCAAGTGATTCTGTTGGACCCTAATGTGAACCCCTGGGCTAAGGGCTGAGGGTAGGCGTCATGGGCCCCTTCCTGCTAGCTCTCCTGTCACCCCTTGTGCCCCATCTATTTACACCAGGTGGACAAAGCTGCTTCAGGGCTCCTGAGCATTGGCCTCCGCAAGGGCGACCGACTGGGCATGTGGGGACCTAACTCGTATGCATGGGTGCTCATACAGTTGGCCACCGCTCATGCAGGCATCATTTTGGTGAGGAGGGGCTGGCCTGGCACAGCTGGGTATGTGGAGGGGGCATCATTGGCCCCAGAATCAAACCACTGCCTGGCTGGTGTCAGACCAGGTGGTGCTTTCTCCTGAGGCCCGTCAAGGGGGCCTAAGGGTGTAGGGTGCTGCCTCTGCTCACGTGGTGTTTCTTTGCCTCCTGGGGGTGGAGGGGCAGTGGGAGGGACAGGGTCTGCCCAGGATACTGACAGGCCCTTGCTGTCCCCACCAGGTATCTGTGAACCCAGCCTACCAGGCGACAGAGCTGGAATATGCCCTTAAGAAGGTAGGACCCCTTCCTGGGGAAGGGGCCTATCTGGTGCCTGGCAAAGAGGGCCTCCGGCTGGCACAGAGGGCAGACATAGGGCAAGGGAGGGCATGCACAGGCAGTGATACCCAGTCTGTCCTTCATCAGGCTGTGTGGATAGGAGGAGGTCTCAACTCCATGGAGAGGGTGGTTGGTCAGATACAGACTGGTGTGTGTTGGGGTGGTAGTGTCAGCGAGTTGGGGGGTGTTTCCTGGTTCATGATGTGTATGTGTCTTGGGGTGTGGTGTGTGTGTCTTGGGGGTGGCACATGTGTGTATTTGTCTTGGAGTATAGTACATATGTATGTGTTAGGGGTGGTATGTGTGAGTTGGTGTCTGTGGGTGTCCCAGGGTGTGGTGTGTGTGTCACGGGGTACATGTGTGTGTGCGGGTTGGATATGTGTGTGTCAGAGGGTGTGCACATATGTGTCAAGGTAGTGGTGAGTGTGAATGAGAGATAATAGTTGACTAGTGAGGGGCCCCCTGGTCCCCATCCCGGGGCTTCCTGCTGACTGTAAGGGGGTGACTCCCCTTCCACAGGTGGGCTGCAAAGCCATAGTGTTCCCCAAGCAATTCAAGACCCAGAACTACTACAACATCCTGAAGCAGATCTGTCCAGAGCTGGAGCGGGCCCAACCAGGGGCCTTGAAGAGTCAGAGGTGGGTGTGTTCCACGGAAGGGGCAGGGGAGGGGCCAGCATGCAGCATCCCTGACTTCCTCACCCCCTGCTCAGCCCCTGACTCTCTACACTCTTCCCACCGTAGGCTCCCAGACCTCACCACAGTCATCTCAGTGGATGAACCTCTGCCGGGGACCCTGCTCCTGAAGGAGGTGGTGGAGGCCGGCAGCTCGGAGCAGCATATGGCCCAGCTCCGTTACACCCAGCAGTTCCTGTCCTGCCATGACCCCATCAACATCCAGTTCACCTCGGTAGAGCAGAGGCCGCAGGCCCCAAGCCCAGGCTGGCACACTAACTTCTGGCCCCATGATCCCTCCCCGGGAATGGAGAGATGGCAGAGGAGGTCAGGAGGGCAGACACTCTCTCCTGAGACTGGCCCGAAGTCAAGGTCTCGGTGCCCTGTCCTGGCTGTCCTCTCTGCCCTGGGAAACATCAGCAACCAGTGTCCCCCTCCCCCAGCTCTCAAGGGCAGGGGCAGATTCACTGAGCCACTACAGGTCAGAGCTGGTGGAGCCTGCCCCCTCACTTAGCAGATGGAGAAACTGAGGCCCAGAGAGGGAATTTACCCAAGCCCATGCAGCTAGTGGGGGGCAGAGTCCTCGGAGCCACCTTATGAGCAGCATGAGGACATTTCTACACATTTATATTCATTTCTTACACATTTCTATTACCTAGCACCTAGCATAGCACAGGCACGTGGTAGACCTTTCACGAATACGTACTAAATGAACAAGTGATGGATTGGGTCAAGAATCCCAGTCTCCTAACTCCCAGTCCAGTGCTCTTCTGCACAGTGGGGTGGGAAGGAGATGGGGAGGAGGAGGCCAGGCTAACACCTGCTTGTCTTGCCAGGGAACGACAGGCAGTCCCAAGGGGGCCACCCTTTCCCACTACAACATTGTCAACAACTCCAACATGATCGGGGAGCGCCTGAAAATGCACCTGAAGGTGAGGAGGTGCTGGGGAGGGTGCCCAGGGCAGGGCTGGCTGGCACCCCAAACCAGGCTGAAGGGAGAGGGTGGCTTGGGCAGGAGTTGGCGGAGGGGTTCGTTGGCTTCCCTTGCTGGCTGGAGGAACTGGCTTTTGGGGCTCTGGCTCCATGACAGACCCAGCCTCCTGCTGCCATCTCCAGAAACCAGAGGATCTGAGGCTTGTCCTGCCCAACCCCCTGTACCACTGCCTGGGTTCCGTGGGGGGCACAATGGTGAGCGTGATGCACGGTACCACCCTCATCCTGTCCTCTCCGAGCTTCAATAGCAAGATGGTGCTAGAGGCTATCAGCAAAGAGAGGTGAGCACTGGTGGACAGGCTACCCTTGGACTTATAAGATCTTCCTAGTCCTCATCCTGGACCCTGGACCCTTTTCAAGATGTCTCCTTCCTTCAGCAAGAAGAACTGGAAATGGGTAGTTGGGAGCCCCCAGGAAAGGACCAGTTCATGCCTCCAAAGAGTTTCTCCTGCCTGTTACCTATAAGTTTTTGCCTTGACCCTTGCTTCAGGTTCAGGGTGGGGTGGGTGAGAAGGAATTCCCTTCCACTTCCAAGCCTAATTTTGTGATGCCCACCCCGTCCTTGTACAGAGGCTCCTTCCTGTATGGCACCCCCACCATGTACGTGGACATTCTGAACCAGCCAGATCTCTCCAGTTACGACATCTCAGCCATGAGTGGAGGTGGGGTGGGGCCAAGGGTGGCAAAAGGGGGAGGGGGCTTCTGGCTCTACTTTGCCTGGGACTACCCCCCGCCCCCGCCCCAGAAATGGCCTGGGTGAGCTAGATATGCTCCCAGTCTTCTATTTAGGGGATAAGAAGGTACTACAGAGATGTGGGTGGGAGGCGGCAAACCCCCAGTGTCTCTAGAGACCAGGCCAAGGCCGGCTGCCAGGTATAGGACGAGGTCCAGGGCCCGGGGAGAGAAGGGCATGCTCTTCCCTAGAATGAGCTGTAGGGGAAGGGGGTCCCCTGGACCTGGAGAAGGGGGGGAGTCGTGTCAGCCCTCTCTCTGATTCAGGTGTGATTGCTGGGTCCCCTGCACCCCCAGAGCTGATCCGAGTGATCATCAACAAGCTGAACATGAAGGAGCTGGTGGTGAGTGGCGGCCGGGACATGGCTGCGGGCAGGTGCAGGTCAGTGACCTGGGGTGAGAACAGACTGACAGGAGTGGGGATGAGCCCAGGCCAGATCTCTGAGGGAGACCCAGGAATCTGCCATAGCCTCTTGGCTAACCCTCATGCTGGAAAGCAAACATGAAAAAATACAGTCTGATCTCAGCAGCTGCTGGCATGTCATGGAGATAGGTGACAGGGGAGTAAATATTACACACACATAAATTTATAATTATAGAAATTCGGGGAAGAAATGCAGCTTGTGAGGATATGCAGCAAAGCACAGGTGTCCTGCTAGAGCATCCTGGCTGGCAGGGGGCTGGTGGAATTAGGGTACAGGCTTAAGACTCTTTCTGGAAGCAAGAAGTGGGGCAAGGATCTGATGGTTTCCAGATGGCAGGAAGAAGGGAGCAGAGGGAAGGGCGGCTCTGGAGGGATGGCCATCCTGATGTCCATCCTGTCTGGTTCTGAGGGACTTGGGGGTTTTGGCGACAGCTTCTCTATGAGGCGCCGTGGCCGTAGGGCCAGGAATAATGGTGGGGGAAGGTGCTATGTCTTCTTCTGGCCACCATCTGGGGGAGCTGGGTGTGTGCTGGAGTGCCCAAGGCCTCCCTGCCAGGATGTCTAGGCGTGGCAGCTCTGTGCATTGGCAGAGGCTCTGGGGAGAAGGTGGAGTCAGGGTGGGAAGGTCAGTAGTCTCTCCAGCAGAAGGCAGAGGCCAGTCACCAGGACTGGCTTGGCCAGGACCTGCGGTGAGGAAATGACCAGTGGTCAGGACTTCCGCAGCCTGCACGGGAGTCAGGCTATGGTTGGAGAGGATAGTGGGTTCCCTGGGCAGTATCGTTTCCTCCCTTAGCCAAGGCCCAGTCCCCCCCTCCTCTCCCTGCAGAAATGGAAGGTCTAGGGGAGGGAGTATCCTGGGACACCCGCCTCACTTGCTGGAATCTCCAGACAGGGGTGTGGGGGAACTGCCTACCTGTTTAATGGCGGCCGGCCTTCTTGGACCTCTTGGTGGGGAACTTGCAGCTGCGGAAGGCGGCTGTGTCCCGGATGTGCTGGCCCCTGAACTTGGAGGGTGAGCTGCAGGTGGCACCTGGGCGGGAGGTCTTGGCTTCCAGCCACCTGGAGAGACAGAGTTGCTGGGGTTGGGGAAGAGATGTGGGAGTGCTGGGACAGTGAGCCAGAGGCCAGGACTGACTTGGCCTGTCTGGGACTGTCAACCTCATTTTACAAATGGGGAGACAGAGGCTCCTGGGTCCCACCTAGTAGGTAGTAGATCTAGGAGGTATGCAAAGGGTGTTTTAGTGCAGGGCCAGTTGTCTCCACTCCATCCCATGAGGATGGGTTCTGGGTGGGGGTGGGGATGTTCTCACCGCCGAAGGCCCTGGAGCTGGCAGGTACATTTCCAGGGGTTGTTGGTGAGTGTGAGGGTCTCCAGGCTGTCAAAGGGGAAGTTGGAGGGCAGCTGGCTCAGGCGGTTGTTCTCCAAATGGACGTGTTTCAGTGTGGTCACACCCAGGAAGGCACCATCTGAGAACTGGGGAGCAAGATGGGCATGAGTGAGCCCCCAAGCCCGATCCCTGGCCTCTCCCAGCCCTGTCACCTCACGGGCAGAGTCCTTCCCTGGACATAAGCATTGGTTCCTCAAGGAGCTTCACAGTTTTCAAACAGTTGTCACAGATGATCTAGTTTACACAGGCACCCTTTGAGATAAAAACAGTTGCCCATCAAGTCGACTCTGACTCATGGTGACCCCATGTGTGTCAGAGTAGAACTGTACTCCATAGGGTTTTCAATGGCTGACTTTTTGCCAATAGATTGTCAGGCCTTTCTTCTGAGGCGCCTCTGGGTGGACTCCAACCTCCAACCTTTTGGTTGGCAGCCAGGCACACTAACCATTTGCACCACCCAGGGACTCAACACTTTGAGATTTCCAATATGCACATGGGAAACTGGAGGCTCTAAGAAGTTAAGTCCCTTGCGTCGGGTCACACCGGCCAGTAAACAGTAGCTGCAGGACCACACCCAGTACTCTTCCCCTGGCACAACACTCCCTGTACAAACACAGGGACTGGGGAGGCAGCCAGGGTTTGGTCCCAGCAGCCCAAGCTGGCACACGGAGAGCCTGGTCAGTGTTTGGTGGGGTGGGCAGTGGGCCCAGGCTCCCCATAGCCCTAGGGTCCTGGGACTTCCCGCAGCTCTGTCCTCACGGCTCCCTCACTGCTTGCCAGCCGCTATTTGTGGAGCCACCTTGATGGAGACTTGGGTCAGGTTGGATGGCTCCAGAGGAAATGTTCTATTGGTGCCCACATCTTGGCCCTGGCGCCACAGTTCCTGCCTGGCCTCCCCTGCCTTAAATCAGCCTCTCATACCCAGCTCTGCTGCCCACTGAAACGCCACTTTGGCACTGGTGGGACAGAGGGGACTCTGACTTCAGCTGGGGAGGTGGACAGAGCTGAAGAAGGGCAGGCTCAGGAAGGCTCCCTCCACCCAAACAGAGGTTAGCTCCTGTCCAGCTTCAGTTCTGTCCTCCGTCTCCATGCCTGTGTGCTCACCTGTGCTTAGGTTGGAGTGCGAGGTTCTCTGGTGATCAGACTGTCCTGAAGACTGTCTGCTCCTTCTTGCCCTGGCCCCCACCCAAACTCCTGGACAAAGCCCCTGGTACCAGGGTGATTTTCCAGACCCAAGGAGGGTTCTGTCTCTACCCAAGGTAGACCCACTTCGCCAGGTGCTGGGGAGGGAGGCTGAGAATGCAGCCAGGAGATGGTATGGTGACTAGGGTAGGCAAAGTGCAGTCGGCAGTCTAGGGGGAAGTGAGGCCTAGCCAGTCTTCCCAAGGGAGATATCTGGGGTCCTGTGCCAAGGTTGACAGTGGTCCTCAGCTCTTGCCTTTGCCCCTTCATGGAGCCCATGGGCATGGAGCCTGCAGCCTGGGCAAGCCCCTGGTCCCCAGGCGCTGACTTCCCTAATTCTGTTTAAAGGGTCCTGAGGAATGCAGTGGAGCTGTGTGTGGGGGCCAAGGCAGGGGGTTCCCCAGGGCCACTGAGGGGTGCAAAGGAGCATCTTTCTCAGGTATCTGCTCCCCCTTCACTCCTTCAACCCCTCACCCCACCTGAGCACACATGCACAGTCCGCCCCAGGAACAGGGTCTCTTTGTGGGCCTGATTTGCCCAGCTCCTCTGGAAGGCTCTTCAATAAACAAAACTTCCTTTATGGGGTGCTAGGTTTACTGGAGACGGGAAAAAAACATCAGGGAGGGGCAGAAAGCCTAACAGGAAGAGGTGGCTGCTGCCCATAGTAGGGGGTTCGGGGACACTGTAGATGCTTCTAGGGGGCCATTTGTGAGGCCAGCGCAGCCCCCAGCTCCTTTTATAAGTATGAATCCTGGGAGGGCAGTGGCTAAGACTAGGGACAGGGGCATCTGGGCAGGGATTAGTGGGATGTGACAAGATAAGGGACAGAGGTCCCCCAAGGGGACCTCTACTCACCTTAAAGATAACCAGAGGGGTGGAGGGAATTTGGGGGGAGAGGCGACAGTGCCCAGCAGTGGCCCTGGCTCCCTAGGCCTCCCGGAGGGGAAGAAGGAGCCAGCGCAGAGTGCTGCAGCCAGGAGCTCACCTTCTCCAGGTTGGTGTTGTCCAGCCAGAGGGTCTCCAGGTATCTGCCAAAGGACCGGAAGGCATTGTCAGGGATGCTCTTTAGGGGGTTGTGGGACAGCTTCAGCTCCTCCACCACCCGCAGCTTGCTCAGAGCAGCGGAGGGGTAGCTGGACAGCTGATTCCTGTCCAGGTGGAACTTGGCGAGGTTCTCCACATCATCCAGAGCACCGGGCTGCAGGGAGTTGAGCGCATTTTCCGACAGGTAGAGCCAGCGCAGGTCCTTGGCGCCCTGGAAGGCGCCTGCACACAGCTCACGGATCTTGTTGTTGTTGAGCTGCAGGATGAAGAGGTTGACGAGTGGGGAGAGCAACCCCCGGGGCAGCTCAGTCACCTTGTTATGGTCCAGGTAGAGGTAGGTGAGCTCGCTTAGGTCGTCGAAGGCGCCGGCGTGCAACACGCGGATGTCATTGTGGGACAGGTACAGGTAGATGAGCTGCTTGAGGCCACGGAAGGCTCCAGCGGCCACCTCGCGGATCTGGCAGTTCTGCAGATGCAGCGACACGAGGTTCCGCATGGCCCGGAACGAGTTGGCAGCCAGCACTGGGAAGTTGTTGCGCTGGAGGTTGAGCAGCTTGGTCTTCTCTGACACCTTGGGGATCTTCTGCAGCCCCACCTTGTCGCAGATGACGTGCTGCAGGTCGCCGTGGCAGTGACAGTTCTGGGGGCAGGCAGCCAGCACCGGCAGCAGGCCGGCCAGGAGGCCGAGACTGAGTAGGAGCACCGGGCGGACCATGGCCGGGAGCCTGGGGCCGGGGCTGGGGCAGCGGTGGTGATGGTGGCCTGGCGTGGGCAGCACTGAGTCTTCGGCCTTCAGTCTCCGGCCCTACTTATACTGCGTCCCTGACCACAGCCGGTAGCCCTTGCCAGCTTCTACGTGGAGCATCGGGGCCACAGGGCTTAACCCCCTCCCGCCTGGAGATGCGCCCCTGCTGTCAACGGGGTTGGGGGGGCCTTCCTCCCCTAGCTGGCGACTGGCGGGCTGGGATTGTGGCCTCAGAACCTTGTCCCTCGAACCAATCCCTCTTCCCCCCTGCTCTCAGATCCTGCTTCTCTCCCTACCTCCTTTCTCCATGCTTTTTTTTTTGCAGAGGGGACGGGTCGGGTAGATATGGGTGTGTTTAGAGGCCTGAGTTCACACCGGAGGGAGGGAGGGAGGCGTTCCCTGAACCTGAATTTATTTGTTTGCTCAAGCTTTAGCCTCCACACCGCCCCCACCCCCCGCCCCATACCCTCTCGGCTGGGTGCCCCAGGCGGTGGAGGGAGGAAGGGGGGCCGGACTCGAGTCCCACCGTGGTCTGCCACCCATGGTGCTTTAATGGGGCTCTTGTGCAATGCCGGCTGAGCCTGAGGGCCGCTCTGGTGGCAGGCTCCTGCGCTGGCCCTAAGGAGATGGGAGCTCCTTCCCTACCCTGGGGCTTTCCCCTGGCTCTTCTCTCCCAGCTGTGGGCTTGAGTTTCTGCTGTCTCCTGCCCCCTCCAATCCTTTTCTTCCCCAAGGCTGAAGGCTAACCAGAATTATGGGAGGGTGACCCCCATCATTCATAAACACACCTGTGGAGACCACAGGCATGGAGTCAGGGCAACTGAACAAGCATAATCATACCACCCCCCTCCTTAGTCTCCCCAAATATCCCTGTCCCCTCATCTCCACTCCCATGGTCAGGACCCACCCCTGAGGGGTCTCTCAGGGTGGCGATCCAAGTGGTGCCAAGGTGTACTTGGCAGAGGCCACACCCTGGCAGTGGCCCCAGGACAGTGGAGCGGGTGAGCGGGCAGCATCCTGGTTACCGGGGACCAGCACTGGACAGCTCCGGCTGCCAGACCCTAGGTTCCAGGCAGCCTGCCCCAGTGGGCCAGGCCTCTGTGCCTGCTTGCCAGCCCCCATGCTCAAATTCCTGTGGAAGGGGAGGGTGACTGGGCAGGATCGAAGCTGTATTGCCAGGGCCAGCTCTGGGCTGCCTGGCAGGGGGTATTGTCAGTGTTGGCGGGGGGGCGGGGGCGGGGGTGGAACCCAGGTCTCCAAGGCTGAGCCAGGACCCTGGCTGTGCCCAAGCCATGCCAGCTGACACGGGGGAAGTTGGGGGTGGGGGGTGGGGGAGGTGGTGCTCAGACAAAGAATCTGGTGTCTTTGCTGAATGGAGGGGAGAGGAGGAGGAACCTAGAGTACTGAGCTGCTAGCCCCTCTTCCCTCACCCAATACCCAGATGCAGAGACCTGGTCCCAGGGCAGCTCGTCTTCCAAGCCTCTTTCACCCCTTGCCTCTACATGGGGGTCATACTTGGCTCAGAACATTCCCTGATGGTATTTGGGCTCCTCCAAGGCTGGCTTCTGGTTTTTCTGTTGCTCAGGATGTTCCAGCCACTAGAAGTGTGTGTGTCGTGGGGGATGCTGCTGGTTTTCTAAATCCCTGCTTTGGCTGTATTTTTATTTTGATGGAAATAAATGCACAGGAAACCCTCCAGAACTGTGGAGAGGGCACCCACCCCAAGGCCAGGCATTTGTCCCAGGTTTGAGGGTGGAGGTTGTCTGTGCTGCTCCCAGCCTGGCCGAGGCAGGCTGGCTTTCTCATCAAGTTTATGGGAACTTCGGCTTGGAAGGAAGGGGCGGGCATGTTGTTGCCTGAAATCGGGGGGCTAAGGCAGCTTGGGGATGCGGCGGCGAAGTCAGGGCATTAGTAATGTCTACTCTAGGGAAGCAAGGAGACAGAGAGGGAGCCCTGGCTGGAAGAGAATGGCTTCCCTGTTTTCAGTTTTATTTCAGATCTGGGGCCCCTGCAGGGATCTAGTCTGCGCAGTGCCCCAGTGCCTCTGCCTCCTGACCCCTGACCTCTGCCGCTCACATCTCTCTTCCCACCACTCAGCTGCCCTCCACTCTCCCCTTGTCTTTTATAAGTTCCTCCCTGTTTCGCCCAGGGTAGCTCATCCTATCCCGCTGCAGTCACTGAGCTTCCTCCAAACACCCTTCCCCCACCCTCTAGATTGCTTATGGAACCACAGAGAACAGTCCTGTGACCTTCATGAACTTCCCTGAGGACACTGTGGAGAAGAAGGCAGAAAGTGTGGGCAGGGTCATGCCTCACACGGAGGTGAGCCACTGGGGTCAGCCCCCAGACCATAGGCAAGCCCCCCACCTCCCACCACTCAGCTGGGACGCACCCACGAGACATGTATTGCTTCCAATTTGAGACCCACACAGCTCACTCGAGATGCAGGGTCTCTGCCGGGCCTGGCCTGGGGCTGTCTGTGGGCTGAGGTGTGAGGCGGGGAGAGAGTTGGACAGTGGCCCTGAGCCATTGCCAGCTGAACTTCTTCTCAGCTTCCCTTCCTGTCTGGGGTGTGTTTTTGCCAAGCCTCACTGTCTGTCTCAGGGCAGCTAGGGCAGCTTGACAGAAGAGCAAGAGCATAGAGATTTTTCCTCCCAGCTGTCTTCTTTACAGACTCCTGCCTCGCACTTCAGCAGAGTTCCTCTTTGGCTTAGGCGTATACACTTCATTTCCCAAGCAGCCTGTCCCTTTGGGGGGTCCCTTGCTCCTCAAAGGCTGACCCAGAACATCTCTTTAATCTCAAGTTCACAGCTGTGACTCATTTCCTGTTCCGACACTGGTGGTTTTATGCCAGCCCACACCTGGTTCCCCCTACCCACTTGTACCCTTGTCCCTGTGGGGTCACTGCCAGTAAGCCCAAGCGGCTGCTTTCCCTGGGACTAACCGCTATTCTGGTGTGAATCTCTCCTGCCCCCCTCCCTGCCCAGTCCTGCGAGGGGTGAGTGTGCTGTGACATTAGTCCCTCACATCTGTCCACCTGTCCCTGCCACTCTCGTGGGGACCACTGCACACCAGGGCTCCAAGGAAGGCAGGGGCAGGTGCAATTCTCCCCATTTCACAGATGCAGACCCTGAGACAGAGAGAGGCTAAGCTGTCCTTGGTCCATTGGCTGTGGCCCTTTCCTCTGCTAAGCTTTCAGATTCTGCCTCTCCTGGTCACATGGTGCTGCTATGCCACCCTCTCTGGCTTCCTTCTATGCTGCCTGCTGGGAAGTAAGAGACTTGCTTATCTTCTACACAGTTGATAGTTCCTCAGCTGGCCTGGCCCTCCACAGGCCTCCTTCTCTGCAGCAGCTCCCTGTCCACTCCATTTCCTCAGATCCCCTAGCCTGGGCCTCAGGTTTCCTTCATGCCCAGCTCAGGTCTCCACCTGGTGATGGATATCTACTCTGGCCTTTGTCTCTCTTCCCTGGGTGGCACTCATTACTGGGGAGAGGGAAGGCAAATCTCTCCCCTCTCCCGAGGGCCCCCATCCCAAAGTGAGGGGATAGGAGGCCCCAGCCTGAAGTCGCCCTGTCCCAGGCCCAGATTGTGAGCACAGAGAACAGTGGATTGATGGAGCTGAACAAGCCTGGGGAGCTGTGGATCCGAGGCTACTGTGTCATGCTGGGCTATTGGGGTGAGCCCCAGAAAACCGAGGAGGTGGTCGGGCAGGACAAGTGGTACCGGACAGGGTAAGAGGGCAGGGTGGGCTGTTGAGGGGAGGCTGGGGGTCCCAAGGCTGAGCTGGGAATATTAAATGAGGACAGGGAGAACATGTGTGTTGAGATGGGCCCTTCACATCTTGGAGACGTAATTTCTAAAATATGTAAAATGGGGATAGTCATGTAGGGTTATTGGGAGGGTCAAACATAGTTCAGAGGTGAGAGCCTAGAACAGTGCACTGCACCAGGGCCCCAATTTAGTGTCAAGATTTAGTCACTTGTTACACACCTACTGTGTGCCAGCAGAGTCCCTGGGTGGTGCAGATGGTTAAGCGCTTGACTACTAACTGAAAGGCTGGTGGTTCGAACCCACCCAGAGGTACCTCGGAAGAAAGGCTTCAGGATCTGCTTCTGAAAGGTCACAGCCTTGAGAACCCTATGGAGCGCAGTTCTACTCTGTAACATACAGGGTCGCCATGAGTCAGAATCGACTCAGCAGCAACTGGTTTTTTTTGGTTGTTATGTGCCAGCATGATTCTAGACACTGGTAGTCCATCCAACAGCAAGATGAGATGTCCCCCCGCTCGCTCTTCCCACGTCTGGTGGAAGGTGACAGATAACAAACAAGATCATTTCAAACAGTGATAAGCACCAGGAAAAAAATAAAAGAGAGTTATAGGAGAGAAAGCGGCTGTGGTGGGAAAGGGGCTTCCTTTAGATTGTGTGCTCAGAGAAGACTTCTTGAAGGGGGAAACATTTGAGCTAAGACTGGAATGATAAAGAAGCCAGCCATGAAAAAAAAAAAGATATTTACAGAGATGGAATATGTTAGAGATGTTGGTTTCTTTGTCTGCCTCCTCCACCAGATTCTCAGTTCAGGGGTAGGCATCTTGTTCATGCTGCATCCCTCAGAACCTCGAGCAGTGCAAGACACAGAGTAGGCGCGTGTTTGATGAGTGAGAGCGAGAGAGCCCATTGAGGCAGAGTGAGAAGCCATGCCTGAGTTTTCCTTGCAGAGACATCGCCGTGATGGACAAGGAAGGCTTCTGCAAGATTGTGGGCCGCTCCAAGGACATGATCATCCGGGGTGGGGAGAACATCTACCCCGCAGAGCTCGAGGACTTCTTTCACAAACATCCACAGGTGCAGGAAGTACAGGTGAGGTACCCAGCCCAGGGGAGCCAGGGGAGACCCTGGGAGCAGGAGCCATGGATGAGGCCAGTGATGTCTGGTGTTTGACCTGGCAGGTGGTGGGTGTGAAGGATGAGCGGATGGGAGAGGAAATCTGTGCCTGTATCCGGCTGAAGAGCGGGGAGAATGCCACAGCAGAGGAGATCAAGGCTTACTGCAAAGGGAAGGTGGGAGCCTCAATACACCCCCGCCCCACCCCACTGACTCTGCTTGGTTCTTCAACCGTCCTCAATACCCAGCCGGTGGGGTGGGGTGGTAGGTGGCTCTGGCCTCTGATGAGCCTGACTCCCGCCAAGCCTAGCCCCCTGCCCTTCCCCACTCCATGACCCCACCCACCTCATGCTTGCTTTCCCTCCCTCGGGTCTGCAGATCTCCCACTTCAAGATTCCCCGCTACATCGTGTTTGTCAACAAGTACCCCCTCACCATCTCAGGAAAGGTGGGTAAGGTGGAGGAGTTTGCAGAGGGGCAGGGCAGCCTGGGGCCTGGGGCCCCAGGTACAGAAGGCCAGCCGGCCAGGCCTGTGACTCCCTCAGTGATGGACAAGAGAATGTGTGGAGAGGATGGCAGTAGGGTGACCAGCTCATCAGCACATTCTGGTGTGCCCTGGACTTTCCTGGTTTTAGCACTAAAAGCCTGAGAAACCCCCCTATCTCAGGCAAACAGATGGCTGGTCATCCTAGTTGGCAGAGGCCCCCAAGCCTGGCTTTCACTCCTCTCTCTTTCCTCTAGATTCAGAAATTCAAACTTCGAGAGGAGATGGAACAGCATCTGAAACTGTGAAGAAAGGAATGAGATGGGGAAGAGGGTCCTCCCAGGCCCTCCTCCTGCCCCTCCCTCTCACTCCCCATGTGTCTTTGTGATTTGGCATAAAGAGCTACTCTGTTGTCTTTGGTCTTTTGCTGGTGTGCTCTCTTGGCAGCTACTGGGGGAATGGAGAAGGGAAGATCCGGAAGGGAACCTAGCATTATCAGATCTCCTATTCCTTGTCATAGCACAGTGGTTAAGAGCTTGGCTGCTAACTAAGAGGTCGGCAGTTCAAATCCCCAGCTGCTCCTTGGAAACCCTCTGGGGCAGTTCTACTCTGTCCTGTAGGGTCACTGAGTCGGAATGGACTCAACGGCAATGGGTTTTTTATTCCTTGTCAAAGGAGCCCTGGTGGCATAACGGTTAAGCGCTTGGCTGCTAACCAAAAGGTTGGTGGTTCAAACTCACCCAGCGACTCCCATAAAGATTACAGCCTAGAAAACTATATGGGGCATTTCTACACATGGAGTTGCTACGAGTCAGAATCAACTCTACGGTACCTAACAAGAACATTCCTTGTCAGTGATGGTACTAACCACTTTGACATATACTTTCTACTCAGTTTGGTCCCTGGGTGAAACAAATGGTTTCTGCTTGCCTACCACCAAAAAGTTGGTGGTTCGAACCTACCCAGCAGTGCTACAGAAGAAAGGCCTGGTGATCTGCTTCCATAAAGATTACAGCTAAGAAAACTCTGTAACACATGGGGTTGCTATGAGTTGAAATTGACTTGATGGCAACAGGTTATCTACTCAATTTAATCCTCATCTCATCTCTTTGGGAGTCCCTGGGTGGTGCAAATGGTTAATGCACTCATCTGGTAACCAAAAGCTTGGAGGAGGTTCGAGTCCACCCAGAGGCACCGTGGAAGAAAGGCCTGATGATCTACTTCCAAAAAATCAGCCATTGAGAACCCTGTGGAGCACAGTTGTTCTCTGACACACATGGGATTGCCATGAATTAGAATCAACTCAGCAGTAACTGGTTTTGGCATCCCTTTGAGATGCCAGCCCAATTTTAAAAAAGGCTATACTCATTTAATTCTTTTTCATATTGTTGACAGATTAGTCAGGCAAGAAGTATTTTTTAAATATATAACAGCTTTACTGAGATATAGTTAGCATACCATACGACTTACCCGTTTAAAGTGTACAATTCAGTGGTTTTTAGTATATTCACAGATATGTGCAACCATCACCACATCAATTTTAGAACATTTTCAGTACCTTAAAAAGAAACCCTGTACCTGGGGCTTCCCTGGTGGACAGGGCCAGATAAAGCGGGCTATAGCTTGACCACAGAAATCAAAACAGCTGGGTTCCATAAGGAACATAGGTTCCCAGTTCACAGAGATGGAAATTTCCCTCCCTTACCTCCCAGTGTGCCTGCCACCAGCAGCAGCAGCAGCAGCAGGCAGCCTCCTCTTTACCTTTTAAGAAATGACGCGTGTTTAGGGTACTCCAGGTGCCAGGCACTATGCTACCCCCCCAAAAAAACAAACAAACACCAAACCCATTTCCGTGGAGTCGATTCCAACTCAGCACTCTGCTAGGTGCTTTCATGTACGTTTTTCTCTGGAAATCTTCCCAACAACCCTATAAAGTAGGTATTAGCCCCTTTCCAAATGAGGAAACTGAAACTCAGGCTCAATGACTCGCCAAGTTCACGCATCTGGGATTAGAACCCAGCTGTTTTACTCCAAATCCCATGATCTTTTCACTTCATTGGACAATCCTTCAGCGGTCTGCTTTCCCAGCCCCTCACCTGCACCCTGTCTCTCCCACATATACTATCTCGAACTCCCCTCCCAGCAGGTACAAGCCCAGGTGCCCGGGTTGGCCTGACCCAGGAGATGACAGCCCACCCTCCTGGCCTAGCCGATTCCCCCTGGGGTTTTCTGCTCTTGCAACATGCAGCCCAAGTGTCCTCTCACCCACTGACTCCAGGTTCTTAAAACCGATCGCACTGACGGCGCTTAGCACACTGGCCTGCAGGCGTTGAATTAATATTTGTTGCCTGTCGTGACGGCTTGTTGGTTTGCCTCTCTCCTATTAGATTGCAACCCAGTTTTATTCACCTACATGTCTCCAGCGCCCAGCTCTGAGCTCGGCGCTTAAAAAAGTGGAGTAATTGATTGAACGGAGAGTTTCTCGATGGGTCACGGAACTCACTCAGGACAGGGTGCTAAAAGGCAAGGAGGGAATCTGCTCCACGCCTGTCCCGGAAGAAGACCGACAGAAGGTTGCGGTGAAGACGCCGCTGCCCGGGAGGTGGCGTCGCAGACCCTAGGCCCCGGGCTCTCAAGGCGCATCCTCGAGCGAGGGGCGGTGCCCGCGAGGTCATGCAGCCCCTCCTCCCTCCTTCCGCCAGTGTGGCCAACTTGGCCAGCCTCGCGGACGCTCTTGCACCCTGGGCATAACCTGGACTCAGGTTCCTGCCTCGCGCTTCAGACCGCCCCTCGCTGCACCGAGCGCCATGACGCTCCCCCGGGTCCGGGCCTGCGGCTGGGTAGCAGCGGCCAAAGCTGCCCAGAGGCGCCACCAAGCGGAGGGCGCGGGAGGACCTCGGTGTCCTGCGCCCCGGAGCCAACGCGCGTCGCTGTACATCCACGTGAGTGTGGGGGGCGGAGCTCGCGGGGCCTGTCCGTGGCGGTCCAGAACTCAGGTGGCGGCCTATGACCCTGTGAACGCACGTGCCGTCTTTTCCCTCCCCCAGTCAGGGATGGGACCCTGTGCCCTGGCAGGGAGGTGACTTGGTCCGGAGACCTGAAGTTGATTTCCCTTATGAGCCGTTTTTTCATACTGAAGCGGGCGTAATAATCCTAGTCCGACCTGCCTTGTGGAGCTGTGCGGCTCAGATGTCGCAGCCAGTGTTGACCGACCTGAAACGGGGATGGGCGTACGTGCGACTGAACCCTGGAAGTGGCCAGGGCAGCCAGGGGCCAGCCCTAACCCTGGCCGTACACTGCCCCCCAGTGGCCATACTGCGAGAAGCGCTGCGGTTACTGCAACTTCAACAAGTACATCCCCCGTGGCGTGGAGGAGGCTGCGGTCCGGAGCTGTTTGGTGACTGAGGCTCAGACGCTGCTGCTGCTTAGCGGGGTGCGGCGGTGGGTACTGGGGGCTGTAAGGTGGGGTCTTGAGAATTATTTGGCGGCGGTGGTGTGGATAGCACGGGTGCAGGCATCCGCGAGAGCTCCCCCAGGTCTCATCTACTCCGTCTCTCCCCTTAGGGTGGAGTCTGTGTTCTTTGGTGGGGGCACCCCCAGCCTGGCGAGTCCCCACACTGTGGCTGCTGTCCTAGAGGCAGTGGCTCAGGCAGCTTACCTGCCCGCAGATGCAGAGGTCACGTTGGAGGCCAACCCCACTTCGTCCGCAGGCTCCAGATTGGCAGCGTTTGGGACAGTAGGGGTCAACAGGCTGTCCATTGGGCTCCAGGTAACCACCTCACCTTCCCCGTCCCAGTGCACCCAGACCTTCAGTGCTGTTTTCCCTCTGGTCACATTCATTCACTGGGCAAACAATTATTGAGTTCCTTCTGGGTACCAGGGGGCAGTACACAGTAGGCAATGAGAAGTGTGTGGGGACACTTTCGTAAATACTTAATTATCTGCTGCTGTGCTAAACCATCAGTCTCTTTGTTCATCACTGTATTCCAAACTTCATCATAGTGCCTGGCACATAGTAAAAAAAAAAAAAAAACGGTTGCCATCGGGTCCACTCGTCAGACTCATCAAGTCATCATGGCAGGCCATGTGGCACATAGTAGGTGCTGAGAAAAAGTTTGTAACATGAATGAGTGAAAACACAAGGGAGAGACAGACACATAGTCAAATCATTGCAGCATGGCAAGTGCTGCCTATAAAGAATCTCTACAGAGGACTCGGAGCACAGACTAAAGGGCAGCTCAGCCTGGAGAAATCAGGGAAGCCTTTCTGGAGGAAGTGATGTTTGAATAAGGAGGAGGGAGGGTGTGGGAGAACAGCATTCCAGGAAAAGAGATAGGATATGAAAGAGGCTTGTACGTTCTGGGGGAGCTGTGAGTAATTTCCTGTGACTGGAGAGGCTGGAGATGGGGCTGTAAGGTAAGGCCCCAAAGCCTTTAGCACCATACTAAGGAATTTGGGTTTTATCCTAACAGCGATAGGACAGCTGCTGAAGGTTTTTAAGTAGGGGGAAACATAATCCTATCGGGTTGACCCCTGATATTTCCATATCCAGCACTGTCCTACCTTCCAGTATGAGTACCCCTTATTATAGGGCTTAGGCTCATGGGCTTTGTCCTGATGGGATGTACTGAAAGGGACATATCATTTCTGAGCTATTCTTGCCCAAAATGCATATCGTGAATCTAATTGTGAGGAGACATCAGGAAAGCCTAAATTAAGAGACATTTTAAAAAACAATTGCCCTATAGTGTTCAAAAATGTCAGTGTTCTAAAAGACAAAGAAAGGCAGAGGATCTAGCCTAGATTAAAGAAGACTAGAGAGACAGTGACAGCTGAATGCGTTGGGTAACCCTTGGCTGGATCCTGGATTGGGGTGGAAGGAGGAAATTACTACAGTAGACATGATGAGGACAGTTGATGAAATTTGAATATGACTCTGTCTTAGATAATGATATTGTATCAGTGTTACATTTCCTGAACTCTAATTGGATTGTGATTACGTAAGAGAATGTTCTTGTTCTTAGGAAATACACACTTAAGTATGTAGGGGTAAAGGTGTACAAGATCGGTAACTGTGTAGTCCAATACAGTAGCCACTATTTAAATTTGTTAATTAAATTTATTTATTTGGGTTGTACGTAAACGGCATCAGCAGCTGCTCTTTTTGTGTGCGCGCGTGTGTGCAACAATATATATCACACATTTGCCAATTCAGCTTTTTTCAGGTGTATGGCTTAATGACATCAGTTACATTAATCAGTTGTGTATCCGTTACCCTTAATCAATGCCAGATTTCCCATCACCTAAACAGAAGTTCACTGCTTGCTAAATAATGGCTTAAATTTGTTAATTAAATTTAATTAACCACATTTCAAGTACTCATCAGCATGTGGATAGTGGCTACTACGTTGAATGGTACAGATATAAAACATTCCCATCATTGCTGGAAGTTCTTTTGGACAGGGCTGGTCTATAACTTAGTCTCAAATGAGTTGACATAATAACAATAATATATGTGTATTTTTAGAGAGAAATAAAGCATGTGGCAAAATGCTGTTAGTTGGTGAATCCAGGTGAAGGTATTTATAATGCTTTTCCTTCAACTTCTCTGTAGGTTTGAAATACTTCAAAATAAAAAGACTGTTGGCTTTAGAGTTCCAAAAACCAAACCAAACTTGTTGCTGTCGAGTCAATTCTGACTCTTAGTAATCGTATAGGACGTGACCCTGTAGGACAGAGTGGCACTGGCCCATAGTGTTTCCAAGGCTGTAAATCTTTACGGAAGCAGATTGCCACATCTTTCTTCCGCGGAGCAGCTGGTGGGTTCAGATCACCAACTTTTAGGTTTGCAGCCAAGCACTTTAATCACTGAGCCATCAGCTTTAGAGTAAGACAGTGCCAAATTCCAGGCCTGACTTTGCAATTGTATGGCCTTGGGCGAGTTAGTAACATCTCTGAGCCTCAGTCTCCTCATCTGTAGAAGGGAGCTGATGTCAGAGGATTACAAGGATTAAATTAAACACTGCATAAAAGTGCTTGGCACGTGTTGACCCTTTGTGAAAGGTAGACCTTCATCCTGTTTTCTCTAGCCTGTTTGCTTGCCTCCCAGCTCTCTGCTGTGCCCCCGTTTCCGTGTCTACAGTAAGGCTGAGCTGTTCCTGTCCCCCTCTGGGCTGGCCTGCATGCTTACACCCACCCTTCTCCCCAGTCCCTGGATGATGCTGAGCTCCAGCTGCTGGGGCGGACACACTCAGCCAGTGATGCTCTGCGGACGCTGGCGGAAGCCCGGCACCTCTTCCCTGGGCGCGTTTCTGTGGACCTGATGCTAGGGCTGCCCGCACAGCAGGTAGGGCCGTGGCTGGGACAGCTACAGGAGCTGCTGTGCCACTGCGATGACCACGTCTCTCTGTACCAGCTGTCCCTGGAGCGGGGCACTGCGCTCTTTGCCCAGGTCCAGCAGGGGGCCCTGCCTGCCCCTGACCCTGAGCTTGCCGCTGAGATGTACCAGAAGGGACGGGTAGTCCTTCGGGAGGCTGGCTTCCGCCAGTATGAGGTCTCCAACTTTGCCCGGAATGTGCGTCCTGGGGCTGAGGGCTGAAGGTGGGGAATGGGCAGGCTGAAGTGTGTCCAGGGAATTGTGCCTCTTGGGGAGAGGGGTCTCTGCTGGGTCCTCTCAGGGTCTGAGATGGTGGGACAGTCTAACCAGGGCCCCTCACTCTCTTCACTCTGCACAATTCCCTCCCTCCCCACAGGGGGCGCTCAGTACCCACAATTGGAACTACTGGCAGTGTGGTCAGTACCTTGGCGTTGGGCCTGGTGAGTCCCCTGTGACAAGATGGGACTATAAAAGGAATGACTCAGGAGAGGCATGTTGTGGGGCCTGCCACCTGCTGGCTGTGTGATCCAGGGCTACTCACTTAACCTCCCCACGCCTCTATTTGCTCGTACATCAAGTTTGGCAAGAAATGATACCTACCTTGGAGAATGTATTTTGAAGTGCTTAATAGAGTGCCTGGCACCGTGGTTCTCAGTCTTTGGCATGCATCAGAATCACCTGGAGGGTTTGTTGAAACCCAGATGACTGGCCCCAACCCCAGAATTTCAGATCCGTCTGTTCTGGGGTGAGGCCTGAGAATTTCCGTTTCTAACATGGTGGATGCCATTGGCCCAGGGACCACACTTTGAGAAGCACTGGTTTAACATCTGGTAGGCACGCAGTGTTGGCTGCTGTTAATGTGGTGGTGGTGGTTGTTGTCAGGGGCCCATGGGCGATTTCTGCCCCAGGGGGCCGGAGGCCACACCCGGGAGGCTCGGATCCAGACACTGGAGCCTGACAACTGGATGAAGGAGGTGAAGCTGTTTGGACATGGCACCCGGAAGCGGGTCCCCCTGGGCGAGCTGGAGCTGTGAGCATCTGAGGGCACAGACAGTGCTGTTCACCTGGGGTCCTCTGCACCCGTAGAGTCACCCCATTTGTACATCCATCTTCATCCATCTTTGGTTCCCAACTTACCACTGCCCCCCCTCCCCTTGCCCCATTCCGCATGACCCCAGCAGCTCCCTATACACACATCCCAGTGCAGGGCAGAAGAGTGGGAGAGGCACATGGCCTTCTCTCTAAGACCCCTTGATTTTCCTTTCAGGCTGGAGGAAGTTTTGGTCATGGGGCTACGCACAGACCTGGGGATCACTCACCAGGTAAAGGCACCGGGACTCTGGCACACCACTCTCTTCTCCTGAGCCTTTCAGAGTCTCTCTCACCTCCTGCCCTCCTCCCCCTACAAGGCCCTATTCCCTGGGTTTGGCAGCTGGAGGTGGGGCCTGGGTCCAGCCAGGCCTGATGGGCAGACGCACTGGGCAGTGTGGTGTGGTGGTGAGAACCCTGGACTAGGACTGCACTAAGCTGAGTTCTGGTCCCTGTTCTCCTGCATCTTTGGGCAAAGATCCTCTCACCTCTCGGAACTTCAGTTTTCTCAGCTGTGTAGGGGAAGAGATTAGATAATGGATTTCCTCAGATAGGAAGCGCAGTTGGTAATGGCAGATAAAATAGAGAGCTGCTCTGGATGAAGCCGGGCCAGAAAGCCCTGGCTGAAGCTGGCCAGACCCTGACAGGCAGGGGACAGGGGTAGAGGAGAGGAGATGTGGCTTGGCTGGGAGCTGGGCTTTGGCCTGAACATGGAATGGAGGTGATGCTGCCATCTCCCTGCTAGCCCATTGACCTGGGCCTGCCAAGCAGTGCATGAGAGTCTGCTGAGCCCCCCGTGCTGGACTGGGCTCTCCCTTACCTCCCCCCACACCCCCTGACATGTTGCCCAGAGTAGCCCAGCCTCAGGTCCCTGCGCCTCTGACCCTTCTGGTCTCCCAGCACTGGCAGCAGTTTGAGCCCCAGCTGACCCTGTGGGATGTGTTTGGGACAAGCAAGGAAGTGAAGGAGCTGCTGGAGCAGGGTTTATTGCTGTTGGATCACAGGTGTGTGTATGGGTCTCGGGGGGCCCTAGCTACGGACCTGTAGACCTAGCGGAAATGAGGAAAGACTGGCGAGGAGGGGCCTGTGGATGCCAGGGGGTTGGCACTGGTGGAGGGTGGGGATTGAAAATGGTAAGATGAGGCAGTCACACTCAGGACTTTTGGATTTCCAGGGGTCTTCGGTGCTCCTGGGAGGGCCTGGCTGTGCTGGACTCTCTGTTGCTGACCCTCCTGCCTCAACTCCAAGAGGCCTGGCAGCAGAGAATCTCCACCCTTGTGCCGAGAGGATGACCCCCTGTTCCTATACCCCAACACAGTTCCAGGTGGGCTTTGGTGGCCAAGCGGCACTGCAGACATCTCTCCAACGCTGGCAGGTGCTACCTCTGCCTGTGTGGTCATTGCCCGATCCTGGCATCCCCAGGGGAATGGCTTCAGTGAGGTGGATGGGAGCACGTTTCTGGTCTGAGAACTGGAATCCCACCCAGCATCTCAGTACTCAGCCCAGTGTGTGCTCAGCCCCTGCATTAGCTACTGTTTGCCTTTTTGTTCTGAATGATGGACAGTGTTAAAAGTCTTTCTACAGGGAATCACCTCCCCAAGAGAAGTGTTCCCCACTCTGGAATGAGGTCCTGAGGCAGCTGCATGAGTTAGGAAAACCAAATCCCCTCTAGGTATTTTAACCGGGAAGGGATTTCATATAGGAATGAGGTATTTACAAAACCACTGGAAGGACTAGGGAAGTGAAAGAGAAAGCCATCAACCACTGTCAGGACCCAGAAAGTTACAGGATTCTCAGCTGCTAGCAACACTCAGGCAGATAATTTACAAGAAAAATCCTGGAAGATGCTACAAAACCTCCTGTTTGCTGTCTGCAAAGGCCACTGCCAGAGGCTTCTGCGAGTGCATTTCATTGATGGACTCTAAAGCAAATGCTTGCTGGCAGGAGATTCTGAGGAATGTAGTTCTCTGGCTTCCAGCCCCTGAAATACAGGAGAGTCCACTGGGTGGCGCCATGTGTATATTGAGCACAGTAACCTGCTGCACCCTGAGAACAGTGAGAAAGATCAGAGCAAGCCTTGCCTCTTCTAGCAGCCAGGATATGTTTGCGGTGGCAGGATCCACACAGACCCTCCTGAGTCCCTACTGCTCTACTCCCCTCTGCCACTCCCAGCCTGTTTGTTGACAGAGTGAAGGTGGGTGGAGTCAACCAGGGAAAGGGGAGGGGGAGAAGAACTTAGGGAAGACCCAGAGCATTTGTAATCCTCTGTTCTACCTGCAGAAATGGTTACAGGTTTTATTTAAATAGCCTAATAAACCCATCTGGAGCCTGCCTTAACTGTGGTCTGTCTTTTGTCTGGGCTTTTTCGTGGGGTCCTCATTTGGAGGCTAGAAGCTTAGTCTAGGGCTCAGATACTCCCCCTTAGATTTTATTTTGAAAGATTTCAAACCTCCAGAAAAGTTGAAAGAATAAATTCAATGTACACCATATATCCTTCATCTATAGGGTGTCCATAAAGTCAAGAAATGGGCAAGTATTCACAAGGACATCTTCAGTTTATAAAGAAATAAAATATCTATGTTTTCAGACTTTGTGGTCATCCTATAGATTCATCAATTTGCTAACATTTTGCCACGTTTACTTTGTTAGTTCTGTCTTAGTTGTCTAGTGCTGCTATAACAAAAATATCACAAGTGGATGGCTTTAACAAATTTATTTTCCTCACAGTTTAGGAGGCTAAAAGTCCAAATTCAGGGTGCTGGCTCTAGGGGAGGGCTTTCACTGTCTTGGCTCTGGGAGAAGGTCCTTGTCTCTTCAGCTTGTTTCCTGGTTCCATGGAGATCTCTGCGTGGCTTGGTATCAACCTTCCCCCATCTCTGCTTCTAGCTTGCATTTAATCTCTTTTATATCTCAAAAGAGATTAACTCAAAATACACCCTACACTAATCCTGCCTCATTAACATAACAAAGAGCCCATTCTTAAATGGTATTTTAACCAAGGGCCTAGAGGTTAGGATTTACAACAGATATTTTTTGTGGATGCAATTCAATCAAAAAACAAACCTGTTGCCACTGAGTCAATTCCGACTCATAGCGACCCTTTTGGACAGAGTAGAACTGCCCCGTAGGGTTTCCAAGGAGCAGCTGGTGGATTCGAACTGCCGACCTTTTGGTTTGCAGCTGTAGCTCTTAACCACTGAGCCACCAGGGCTCCACAATTCAATCCATAACAGTGTATTTTCTGCTGAACCATTTGAAAGAAAGATGTAAACAGCCCCTGGTAACCAGTAATCTACTTTCTGTCTCTGTATTTGCCTGTTCTAGATGTTTCACTCAGCATTATGTTTTCAGGGTTCATCCGTGTTGCAAGGGCTGATACTCTTAACCTGGAAACGGTAGGCTGTGTGTGTGTGTGTCTTGCAAGAGGGGTGTTTTTCTGGGAAGAAGCTCCATAACTTGCATACCTTATCATATCAGAAGGTACTATGGTGCCCAAATTAATGTACTGCTACAAATCAAGGCATGTTAAACTCAGCCTCTAGCTGAGTGACTAAGGATGAGTGCCCCCACCCACGTGAGCATGTGCATTTCCCATGTGCCTGGTGGGTGTGAATATCAGTCCTTCTTTGACCTTGTGGTAACATGGTAAGTGTTCTACCTCTCCTTTATTCATGAAATATTTAGCAAGCACTAATGGTGTGCCAAGCGCTGCGCATGGCACGTAGAGAGGAACAAGACCTGTCCCAGCCCTCGAGGAACTCACCACCAGGTTGAGAGATGGATAAAGAGATAAATCCTAGGGTTGTCAGTAAAGGTGTGTGGATGAAATTGGGGGAGCCTGGAGCACATTTGGTTTTGAGGGGCGTGAGAGCAGGAAAAGGGGGACACAATTTTCTTACTATTTTCTCTACCCCTGATGTCCTAGAGATCCTGGGCCTGGGGCAGCCTGCGGGGTGACCTATGCTGCCCCGGGGGAGCCTTGCCCTGAGCCTTCCCCTGATCTTGATATTCCAGAAGTGAGCACAGGGCCAGGGCAGGTGCACCATCAGATAACCCTGGGCCCACTCAGGTTTCTCCCAGGTGCCAGGGCTCGTGCCACCTGAGCTGTCTGGGCCCTCCTTGCTGAGCACTTCATGGGGCCTCTGCAAAGGGGCTAGGTGGGAGCCTGGGCCAGTGGAGGTGGCACCTTGGTGACTCAGACTGGGCCTACCTTTACCAGGTAAATCAGAATCTCTGGGAGGTGGTGCCCAGGAATCCAGTTTTTAAATGCCTCCTAAACGGCTCTAAAGATCAGTCCAGTCTGAAGAGCCCTGATTGCTGTCATCTTGTCCCACTTGCCAGCCTTCCCTTCTGTGGCTGGGGTCAGGAGGAACAAGGGGAACATGGCTGCTTCCAGACATGACCAAGTGAGAGTGGAGTCCTGCCCTCCGCATCCTGGGCCCTACATGGCTCGTCCATCAAAGGGATTCTCTCCCTCTGTACTGGGACTTCAGTTGTCATCTTTTCACCTACCCTCCATCACCTGCACACGGACACAAATGAAAGAGGTGAATAACCTACTTTGATGAAATTCCTTTTTGACAAAGCTGAGGGTTTAATTTTTGATCATTATAAACTCTGTGTTGAATGTCTTATGGAAATGTTTTTATGCATTGGTTTGATCATTCCCTTTGGTTTAGGATAAATTCCAAGAAGGGGAATTGCTGACTTTGAGGATATACCTGTCCTTTGTTTGGCTGCACAATGCTAAACTGCCCTCCAGGAAACCTGCTCAGCACATACTCCTGCCAGCTTGCTAGTACTCATTTCTCTACAATCTCATCAATACCAAGCACAATCAATTTTTCCAAATGACTCCAATCTGAATGAAGGGCATTCTTTTTAATATACATATAATTTATTTTTGTTATTGTTGAGAATATACACAGCGGAACATACACCAACAATTTCTACACGTAGAATTCAGTGACACTGATTATATTCTTTGAGTTGTGCAACCATTCTTACCCTTCTTTTCTGAGTTGTTCCTCCCCCATTAACATAAACTCACTGCCCCGTAAGTTTCCTATTTTATCTTTCAAGTTGCTGTTGTCAGTTCGATCCCATATAGATAGATCTTAAAAGAGGACAATGCTCAAGGCAGGCATTCCTTACTAGTTAAGCTAAACTATCGTTTGGTTTTCAGAAGACTTCAGGGGATATTTTTGGTTTAAGATGTAAGGTTTAAAGATCGTCTCAGGGCAATAGTTTTGTGTGTTCATCCAGCCTCACTGGCTCCAGAAAGTCTGGATTCCATGAGAATTTGAAATTCTGTTCTGCATTTTCCACCAATGAAGGGCATTCTTAATCCTAGCTTTATTATCAGCTAAAATGTTAGGTGGTGGTTGTTAAGTAGATGTCATCAAATTGGAGTTAGTTCTGACTCATAGTGACCCTACGTACAACAGAACAAAACACTGCCTGGTCTTGCACCATCCTCACGATCGTTGTTATGCTTGAGCCCATTGTTGCAGCCACTGCGTCAGTCCATCGCATTGAGGGTCTTCCTCTTTTTGCTCTCTACCAAGCATGATATTCTTCTCCAGGGACTGGTCCCTCCTGATAACGTGCCCAGAGTACTTGATACAAAGTCTCACCATCCTTGCTTCTAAGGAACATTCTGGCTGCACTTCTTCCAAGACAGCTAAAAGCTTTCATTATCAGCTAAAAGACTGCCTCCCTAATAAGGTCTCCATGAGTGGGAGCTCACTGACAACAACACCAACTGTAAACATTTTGGTCTATCGGATCACTCCCAGTCCCAGAGCACAGGAGATGCAAGCGCTGGGGCCACCCAGGTGGAACGAACTGTTTGCTGGGCATTTTAGATCACCTCTGAATTTCTCTTATCCAGACCCCCTTTCTGGGAGAGTCCCAGCTCTGCTCTCCTGTCTTCCTTAGCTTGCTTCCCCTTCTTTTCCCAAGGTGATTTAATTTTTTTTTTTTAATTACATAAGCAGCTTTATAGAAACACTAAACAGAATTCTAAATGAAAGAAAAATCACCCACAATCAGTGGCCCCAACAAATTAAGCCATTTTTATTTGCCTGCGTTCCCTTCCAGTTCTTATCCAAATGCAGGTAATATTTTTGCCTGGTCGTAATCCAGCACAGATCTAATTCTGCATCCTCCCGCTGTTGGTTCCCCTTCTATCAGAAACGTTTTTTATTTTGGTACATGGTCATCGTCTTTCTCATTGTAATTGCTGCATAATATTCCAATGAGTGAATAATTTAATAATCATTATCCTAATGGAAGTCACTTAAGTGGTTACTCATTTTCCCCCTATTACAAATAGTGCTGAAATGCATGTTTTTATGGCAAGAGCTTTTTCCTTCATTTGAATTATTTCGTCAGGCCAATTCCCAAGAGTGAGACAGCTAGGTCAAAGGGGATGAATGCTTTAATGGTTCTTGGTATGAATTGTTATATTGTTTTCCAAAGGGTTTTTCTATGTTCTTTTTTCTTTTTCTGCTCAAAAATAAATAAATAATAATTCATGCTCTTTTTTTCAACTGCATAGAAGAAAGCAACATTTTTACTACCCAGAAATCATCGCTACTAACATGTGGACAACCATCCCTGCAGACATCTCGGTGCATAAATATACATATGGATACAGAAATAAAAATAATTTTTCACAAAAGGGATCATACTCACGGGCCAGTTTTGCAATATGTCCTGGTTTGCCTAATTGGTTCTGCTAGAGTGCTTTTGTGATAGCATAATGTAGTATAGTCATTCCTGTAAGCCAGGCAACTGGCCAAGCATTTTATCTGTGTTAGCTCATTTAATCTCCACAACAACCCAATGACATAAATTCTATTATTATCATGCCCATGTTACAAATGAGGAAACAGACTCAGAAATTAATTGACTTGCCCAAGGTCACATGGTTAGTGAGTGGTGAGGCTGGCATTGGAGCGCCAAAACAAATGCTTATACAAGTAATACATGAGTATGTTATTGTTAAAAACCATATATAACGTAGCATAGAAAGTAAAGTGTGAAAGCCTTCATGCTTCCACAGAGGTTTGGTGTGTATCAGTTAAGTTTATGTTCAATTACATATAACAGAAAATCAAAATAACATTGGCTTAAACAAGATAGGGATTTATTTTTCTTTCACATTAAAGAGATATGGACATAGCATTCCACAGCTACCATGGTGGGCCCATGGTCATAAAGGACCCAGGCCTCTAACGTTATTCTCTGCCATCCTTAGTTCACGGCTTCCATTCTTAAGGTTGCCGCATAGCCTAATATGGTCCCTGGAGTTTCAGCCATCATATC